TATTGGTATTTGGTGGGGATATGTTATTTTGGTTTTTCATGTTATTATTTTTTCTCTGTGATTTTGACATGTGAATTTCTTTTGTAGTTTCTGATTGTTTTGTGAGACTCAGGCCTTCAAGTTTAGGTCTGCTTCTTTTTGTGAATATTAGGTGTCTTTGTGGTTTATTTTTGGGGCATGAAAAGCTGGTTCATCTAATCTTTCAGTTCTCTCTTTTGATTTTATATTGGAGTGGCCGGATTGATTTTGTCTTCAGGAGTTCCCACAGAGGCTCAATTCAGGTGAGGGTCAGATGTTTTCAGGCTTTCTCCTAAGGTCTGGAACACTCCAGGAATGATATTGGCCTCAGGAATTTGTGGGTTGGACTGGCCTGGGAGCCTGGCCCTGGAAAGATGCTGGTCTAGGGCAGCTGGTGGCCATGCTACCAAGAGATACAAAGGCAGATGGGGTGGGAAGAGGCCCCAAGGACTCCTGGGCACTGCACTGAGGAGCTGGGTTGGTCCAGAGGCAAAGGATCAGGAAGAGGAAAGGTCAGCCCCAGAGTCCCAGAAAGAGGCTGGAGGGTGGTGCAGGCCCAGGGAAGCAGAGGGAGGTGAGGGCAGGGCCAGGCCCAGAAGCAGAGCTCCTGGTGCCCAGAGAAGGTACTAGGTTGGTCTGGATGAAAAGGATCAGAGAGCAGTATTGGTTCCCCAGGTGTCTGGGGCCCCAAGACAAGTAATGGGGCAGAGCCCAAACTCCGAGGAGAGAACAGTAGTGGAGATGGGAGGGTGAATAAGGCTGGGGGAGTCCAGTTGCGGAGGGCACAATGGACTTACCCTGGAGAGAGGCCTGCGGGTAGGAGAGAGGCCTGCAGGTAGGAGAGAGGCCTGCGGGTAGGAGAGAGGCCTGCGGGTAGGAGAGAGGCCTGCGGTGGGTCCTGCAGGCCCAGGGAAGCAGAGCCTGTCTAATTTTTTAATGTAGGCACTTTAAGACAGGGTCTCCCTGTAGCCCCAGCTGGCCTGGAACTCACTATGTAGACCAGGCTGGCCTTGAACTCACCGGAATCTTCCTGCCTCTGCCACCTAAGTGCTGGGATTAAAGGCATGTACCACCATGCCCAGCTATTTTTTTATTTTTTAAGTTCAGATTGAATTAAAAACACCTCATCTCTATTTTATCCCTGTATTTTTCTGGACATAAGTTACTTTATTAAAAAGAAATGGCTGAAAATAACCTTATTTTCAATCCAACATCACATCTAAAATGCCTTTTTTTTTTTTTTTTGTCTCTTAGGAAAAAATGCTGCAAAGGATATAAATTTGTTCTTGGACAATGTATCCCAGAAGGTATGTAATATAGAAAATGATCTCATCACCCCATTTTCATGACTATTAGGAGTCTATAAAGCTGAGGTACAGGTGGTGTATGTGTTATCTATATATGCATTATGTGTATCTAGTTATTGATGTGCTCGTAATTCTCTTTCTGGCATTAAATTCCTTGCTGATTTGGTTCTGTGTAATGTACTCTGTCTGAATTATTGTGTGATATATTCATATACATTGAGTCATTCTTGGATTTTAAATTTTATGCTTAGAAGGCTGTAATTCCTCCATCAACATTTGATACACTAATTATAACTCAGCCCTCTTCCTGACCCCTCCACCTGCTTTTCCAGTGCTAAATTTCAAACCCCTTTAAATGACCACCAGCAAACACTAATCCAATACTCAGCCCATCCCTAAAGGCAGAGAAGTTTCAGGCATGGACCAATCCTCTGGGTGCATACTTCAAAGTAAGAAGAAAGCAGGTGAGGCATTTTTAATGAGATGAGCAGATTTTAATCATGCTTTTGTGTCCTGCTTAATAGAACGTTGGGCAAACTTACTTTCTAACTCTTGGTTTTTACAGGCAGGTTTTAATACCCAGGTCATCATATGGGTGTTTAAAGAACTTTGCCATATATAAAGTACTTGAGCCAGAGGCTGATTCTTAGTAAGTACTTGATAAATTGTGGCTGTTGTTGCCATTATTGATAACTTCCATACACAATACAGACATTTAGTGCAAACACATTCATAGAAGGCAAGCACAGAGGACCAATGGACAGAGGCAGGCCTGGGAAAGAAGGAAAAGTTGAGTCAGGTAATCTATCAAGGAAGACCGCCCTGGACTTAGGTAGGAAAGGAGCATTCCAAAGGATTCCTGGCAAGGCATGGATACAGAGGACTGTCTGAACAGCCATGGGTTGGATTTTTTAGGCTGGGTGGGGACAGCGAGTAGGGTCTGTGAAATAGCTTTCTTCACTCTTTCCCCAGAAGCTGAGTTTCTCTAGAGGATTGGGAGCATAGCCAAGCTAACATGCTGCATTATCTCATGGAACAAAATTTCTTTATTATTTTAAAATAGATGCCTCCCTCCCGTTTATTGCTGTCTTCTATGGGAATATGGAAAAATTCATTAAACCACAGGTGTACCGTGGGAAGGCTGGCTAGGACATAGCTTCACATGTATTGTCCATGTGTCCTTGGGCCCCTCTGAACTGAGTATCTCTGTATCAGTTGATTCTGTGGAGTAGAACCTGGTAGGAAAAAGCACGAAAATTAGACTAGCATTCCTTCACAGTTCAGTGCATCTCAATCACCAGCTGTATCATTTACATTGCAGCTTGGCAGATACTAAAGAAAACTAGGTTTAGGCCAATTAATTTGAGATCCTAAGTAAATAGTTTGTTTAATCTAATTAAAAACACATGGACTCTATATAGTTGGAGTTTCTTTAAAAGTTAGGTATTGAGATTTCAAATAGCTAGGCTGAATTCTATTCTCTCTCACCTTAAATACAATAGCACCTATGATTAATGGTACCAAGAACTGCATATTTCCAGGAAAAGTATATTCAAACATCATTGTGGATAATTCTTTGCTCTGTTGCTTTTTACTAGCATAGCTTTTAATGTTCGTTTTCCTCTAAGGAAATAAATCAGTGGTTATTCGTTTCCTTTACTAATGATATCTTTAGTCATAGGTTTTTATCACTCAAGGATGAAAAGGAAACACAGAGTGATGGCATATGCCTAGAATCCCAGCACTCACAGAGGCAGAGGTGGGAGAGTCAAGAATTCAAGGCCAACCTGGGCTACATAGTGAGTTCCAAGATAGCCTGAGCTACAAAGAGACAAAAGAAGAAGGAAGGGGAAAGAAAGGGAGGAAGAATAAACAATGTAAAATACAAGTATAAAATTTCAGGAAAGATTATAAAAGAATCAATAGGATATGTGTGTGTATGTGTGTGTGTGTGTGTGTGTGTGTGTGTGTGAGTGAGTGTGTGTGGGTATGGGTGTGGGTGTGGGGGGGTGTTGGAGGGGTGTGTATGCAGACACACATGAACACACAGAAATTGATTTTAATTTTAAACTGTATTTTATAAGACAGCTTATGAGCTGGTAGAGATTTTAGTGTGAACCAGCAGGCTAGAGACCCAGGGGTTAGTTCATGTTGTGGTTCAAATCCAAAGGCAAGTTACTGGCAGAGTTTTCCTCTTCAGTTAGGGAGGTCAGCCTTTTTTCTATTAAGCCTTCAAACAGTCAGGGCCCACTGGCACTATGGAATATGATCTTCTTTACTTGGAATCTACTGATTTAATTGTTAGTTTCATCCTAAAAACAATAGAGAGAGCTGGACTTGGGGGATCTACACCTGTAAAGCCAGGATTTTAGAAGCTGAATCAGGAGGATTGTCTCAAATTCAAGGACAGCCTAGGCTGCAGAGTGAGTTCCCAAACAGCCTGGGCTATGGTGTGAGACCCTACCTCAAAAACAAAACAGCCCCCACAAAAAAATCTTAAATAATGTTTGAGCATGTATTTGGATACCTAGTCCCCAAGTAACAAAGCTATACTCCTTCCTGACACAGTACAACTATGCTGCATAAAAACATACTGTTCCCCTAGAAGACAATGCAAAGTGGTGCTCAGTTTTCTCCTCGAGTATTATTTAAACACCGTGATGTTAACCCGGGCCTGGTGGCATGTGTCTTTAATCCCAACACTCAGGAGGCAGAGACAGGAAGCTCTCTGTGAGATTGAGGTCAGTCTGCTCTACATAGAAAGTTCCAGGCCGGCTGGAGCTACAGGGAGATTCTGTCTTAAAAAAAAAACAGAAAAACACCGTTATGTTGAAGTTAACAGTACTTAAATATTATGACATGAAGTTAACACATGATACATGATAAGGAAAGGAGGGAAGATACAGCAGGGCATGTGTACTTAAAGACATTCATAAGAGAAGACATGAGTACTCAGGACATCCACAGTCGTTTCTATCACTGGCACATGGTCATCCTGCCCTTTATAACTACTTCCTTCCACTACCCATTCTGATTGCTTTTGCCCCAACATATTGGTCCTACCTGAATTGGCGAATTTTTCTGTTGGCTTTCATCTTATCGCAGGCCATGTTATTGATAACACTAAGAGACATCTGCAAGGGTCTCTTGTATTACAGATACAACATGTTGACCTCTGTTGTGCAAAAACAGCAATTTCCCCTCAGTGTTTAGAATCAATTGCCCACCAGCACAGTGACTTCCTTCTAGACTATGGCACAGGCATAAGGAGGCAAATACCCCAAGAGCAGTTCAGTGGAATCGCTGTTCTCCTAGTGGGAGCTCCATTTGGAGCTGAGACTGCTGGGCTGGCAGAGCATGAGGCCTCAGCAATAGGAAGCAAAGCTGTTGCTAATAGATTAGAGGGATAATCCATTAGGTGGTCCAATCACCTTTCTGTCCCTCCATTCCTGGTCCTATGAACTCTGCTTATAGAAAACCATTTATTGGACACTGACACAACCTAGTCATCCTCCTAGAGGACCTTGTGCCAGACCAAATATCTGGGTACTGTGGCTTAGCCAAGCTGACTCCTAAAACTAACCGTCACTGATAACAAAAAGAGACTAGAGTTTCCAAACAAGCATGCTAACTGATGGCGGAAACAGCCGTATTTGTTTGTTTGTTTCTCTTTTTGAGACAGGGTCTCTCTGTAGCCCCAGCTAGCCTGGAACTCAAGACCAGTCTGGCCTTGAATTTACAGAGTACTGGGATTAAAGGCGTGCACCACCATGCCCTGCCTGAAACCGCAGGGGTTTTTTTGTTTTGTTTTGTTTGTTTTTTTAACAGAAAGATTAATCAAGCCTTTATTTTATTTTGGAACACAAAATAAGGAGGAATCAATTCCAACAATATAGAGAGTTAAAAGCAGAGGTGATGTTTGAAGCTTGCTTTAAAGCAAGTATTAGTTCTCATAGATGTTTCCACTATTAAGTCTGAAGGTTCCTATTTTATTCCCCTTTGCAAATAAACTAGCTGCTGACCTCAGGCACATAACAGGTGCTTTCATGTATGCTGAACGAATTCATGAGAACCAGTCAATCATTCAACTCATCTTTTTTTTTTTTTTTTTGCAGAAAACTTCATTTTTAATGCAATTGAAACCGCAGTTTTTTAATGGCTGCTGCCTCATAATTTTTAGTCCAAGTTAGGGGCAGTCTATGGGTCAAATATGGCCACCTGATTCTAGAAATGAAATTTTGCTGAGACATTGCCCTTCATTTTATTGCTGTCATATGCCTCTTTGCGTGCTAACAGTTGAGCTGAGTAGCTGCAACAGAAGACTGCAAATCCAAGGCAGGGTCAGGCCCTTTCCAGAAAAGGTTTCCTGACTTCTGTTATAAGTGAGGTAACAGGGTAGTCAGATTTATTCTAGCTCAGACGTTATAAATTGAGTTCCAGCTGGGGAGGAAGTTGCATTGGCTATTCCCCAGGACACAGTCCCCAACAGGGATCCAAACAGTAGTAAGAACTAACAGCAAATGGGGCAGAACAGCAGGGAAGCTTTTCCCATATCACTCACACTATCCTGAATGTGTCATCCAATTTTACCATAAAAGCACTGTGATATGGACATTACTATTTTTGTCATCAGTATTTATAGGAGAGCAGATTGACACTTAAATGACATGATATCGAACTAGACTTGGTGGCTCATGCTTATAATCAGGAGGTTGAGGCAGGAAGACTGCCACAAGTTCAAGGCAAACGTAGACTATAAATCAAGACCCGTGTCAAAACAAAAACAGACAAACAAAGCCAGAAATAATGTTCAAGTTGGGTGGGGGTGCACTAAAAAATATGACTCTGAACATGTGACTAAAAGAGAGAGTCTTGTGGATGTTGATAAGACAAACTAGACTGTGTTGAGGAGATCAAGAAAGACTTGGCATTGACAGTGAAACCTGAAAGCTGACTAGAATGTCAGCAGTCATACAGCCCTGGTGGTAAGGGTGCATGAA